TGGGATGATAATATTGCTTTGTCTGTCTTGTCTATTTAGATTGTAAGTTCTTTAAGGCAGGATTGTCTCTGTGTGTTTGTAGAATGTACAGCACAATGAACCCCTACTGCAGCTAGGAATTCCAAGTGCTATTGTAATAGAAATAATAATATAATACAGATATTGTAGTAAGAATGCACTGACTTTTCCATGAGAAAACAGCAGACAGTTGTTTTGGTTCTCTCTGAGGTTTGCAAAAATGTATTTTTAATGTGACGCATTTCAAGTACACATTTGATTTTGAAAAAAAGTCCACATTGTAAATTGTTTCCTTTTAACTTGTTTTGCAAGCCCTAAGGTAAGTGAATAAACCTTTGAATTGTTTTCTCCAATCTGAAAATATACATGCAATGTATTATACTTATACATAAGAGCTGATGCGGTATAATTAAAATTGACTTTCTCAGTGTTGATTGTTAATTGCGTGGCATTTGGCTATCATCACAATCCTTATTGTTTATTTACAGCATATTTTTCCCTTTGATTAAAAACTCTGCAGTAAAAAAAGTTTGCTGTAAATCCCTTTGCATGATGTAAGTGATTTAAAACAATAATTAGAGTGCCATAAAACTGAAAACATATTTAGTTAATCTATTGTAGGCTGTAAAACATTTTTTTTACCTTCCAGTTTTATTGGTATTCAATCTCTGTTTGATCTTCATTTAATTTCTGTCTTGGGGAAAAAAAACTAGTAAGAGACAAACTTTTCAATTTCCTCTTTTTGTCGCTGTGGGGGTCCTGGTCGCTTGGGAAGGAGGCAGTTGGAACTTGGAAGGTTTCTGCAAAATTAGCAGAATGCTTTTTGGCGCAATGCCCCACCCCTATTGCATGCATTCTCATTAAGGCTGATGTGGTAGTTTCATCATCATGTTGTACTTTGGTGCTCAGCCCGTGTCAGGGGCCTGTTATGTTATTGTTGCTCACCTTGATTGCATACATTCAGACAGTATGGTCATCACGGGGAGCCGAACCAGAATTTTTCAGTGCCAAAAGCACAAATTGCTGCTATCTGAGTCAGGGTCTAATTCTCATCTGATCTAAGTCAGCTTAGTTGCTTTGACTTTAATGGAGTAATGTGGATTTACACCAGCTGAGGATCTGGACCGAACTCAGTAAATAGCAGGTGCTTGTATCCACTGGGGCCAGCTGCTAAATAAAGAGATGATCATATGCTCGAAGCCAGTGAACAGAAATGTTCCTCTCTGGGTGAGCCAGGAGTGGTGTTCATGCACTGCAAAAGGAATGACCATCAGCCCTCTGTGACACACTGTGGTGTTATCCAGACCAGGGAGGCGCTGTGTCATCACCTTCCCTCTGTTATTGGAGGGCCCTGCAATGTTTTGCTGCTGGTTATTATCCTAACCTGGATCACTCACAAACAGTCACCAGCATGCAGGTACCCCTAAGTGTCTAAGTGTAACTGCATCCTGCTGGCCACGCTGGGGCTCTCATCACCAGCCTTGGTTACTACTGCAGGGTGACCCCAACACACTCCCAGTCCAAAAATGTATGTTCTGTACTTTCCAGCCCACTCCTGGACAGCCCAGAGGTATTCGGTCCGCGGTCCCTCTATGAGAACAATACACAACAACTTGCCACCTTAAATGGAGTTACCCAGACAATTTAACTTAAACACACTGGATTGGATTAAACAATACAGCAAGTTTTATTAACAAAAGAAGAGAGGATTTTAAGTAATGAGGCATAAAAGTCATAAATGGTTACACACAAAATTAAGACAAAACATTTCCTAGTGCCTAACTTAACAAACTATACTTGATTCAGGGCAAAGTCCCAATCACATCTTCAACAGCATTACTTACCAAAATGTTCAGGTCAGCACCCTCCCCCAAAGTCCAATCGCGGTTTCTTTTGTCTTCCTAGCTACAAGGAGTGGGATCGCCAGGGAGAGAGATACCTTGGGGTGTTTGCCCCTCACTTTTATAGTTCAGCCCCCTCATAAAATTCTATCTATCTGAGCAGAAGGAGATATGGAGACTAGTGAGCAAAGATGCTTCATGTGGTTTTCTTTCACCTGCGTGTGCTAAGATGCAGATTTTCTTCCTCTCCTTTCTTTTCTCTCTTGCTGTCTGAGGTCTCTGTTTACAGCTTATATACAAATTGAAGTAACTCTACACTCCTTTCTTCAAGACATGCTTGACCCGCTGTGCTTTAATTTGTGCAACGTGAGTTGGAACATGTGCCTTTAACATTATATACGGGGGATTTCATAACTTTACACCCAGTGTTGCTATATTCATTTCACCAAGATAGTGTTGACCAGCAAGTTATTAGTTTTCAAATGTTACCTCACAAGGCCTGTTTTGTACAAAGATTATTATAGTGTGTAGGGTGTGAATACAGGTGTGGCTGTTGCAGGGGGGAAGGAATGTGGCATAGCTAGAGATTTCCATAGCCCCTCAAGTACCTGCTGCTCCATGCTGGTTCTGACTAGGCGCCTTTTAATTTAACTCCCTCTGTTGCCTGGAAAATATGAATGGACACTAGGCTAAATTTTGGCTCTGTTATCCTACTAGGGATTTGTACTGAGAATTCCCTATTGAATTCAATGGAGAATTTCACATATGGATCAATAGCAGGTCTGAGCATTCATCCTGGAAGCTAATTTCCAGACTTGGTTTAATAATTAATGTTGCATCTCTTTTAGGGTTCAATAATACTATAGTAAGACTTTGCAATGTATTCATGTATTATTGGCTGAACTGGTAGCAAGACTTAGAGAGAAGATTCCATTATAAAGACAGTTTTTCAGTTGCATATAACTTTGCAGAACTTTAACTATTTGGGTCAAAAATTTCCAAGCTGGGTGTCTGCCACAGGCTGAATTTTTGGGGAAAGTTTTGAGCAAAGATGGCGTAGCCATTTCCAAGACAGGGGGGAAATACGCTGTTTTGCCCCTGCTAACTACTCTTACAAATGTTTTCTTGAGAAACTCTAGTGCCTCTCTGCTTTGGAGCAGGGATGGGAAATGTGGGAGGGGATCACCATGGGATCAGAGAGAGGTGCCTTGTGCTGTCCCTCTGCAAATCCACACAGATCTGTTCAAGTGATTAGCATGTGAAAACTGCCAGTTGCACATACACAGCAGAGGTTTGTTACAGATCGTGGCAGCAAACTTCTTTGAAAGAAGCTGCCTGGTAGTGAGCATGCTCCCTCTCAGGGCTGCAGGGCCTGAACCTGACTTTACTGCTTTTGCTCCTCATGGCTGCTGGTGTCCTCTGTGGTGCCAGGTATTGGAACTGAGAACAATCTCAGACAGAGAAAACAGTTGGTTTTGTGGGCTCTCAGTGTCCCCCCTGCTGCTGCCCAGGAGAAGGGGGGACAGCCTGAGTTGAATGCACAGGGATGAGGAGCAGAGGGAGGAATAATAGGGGCAGAGGGGGATAGGCTGGAGTGATGTTCAGGGGCAGAGTGCATCAGGCTGGGGTGTAGGAAAGGGGACACCAGGGCTGTAAGCACTACTTGAACACACCCCTACAGACCCAGGACCCCAGCCTCAATATTCCTCTGCTGTCTAGCAAATAGCTGGCAAACGGGGTACCTCACCCCCACGCCTGGAGTCTGGTGCCTCGCCTGTCTTCACTGGGAAAGAAAAGGTGTGTTTTTAACTTAGCTAAGGTGTCAAAATCGTAGTGTGGACAAGGCAGGGTGTAGATTTAACAGGTGCTAAACTGCTCACGGTAGGGTGACCAGATGTCTCGATTTTATAGGGCCAGTCTTGATTTTTTGGTCTTTTTCTGATATAGGCTCCTATTACCCCCCTCCCGATTTTTCACACTTGCCGTCTGGTCACCCTAGCTCAAGGTAACGCCTAGGCTCCCCCCTACACTGTAACTCCGCCGGTTTAAAGCGCTGCCTTGTGTGCTAGCCAACACCTTCCCATCCTCGTCCGGACAGAGCCCGAGGGTGAAATCCTGGCTCACCCCCCGCCCCGTCCCATGGACCCCACTAGAGCCAGGAGTTCATTCCCAGGGTCTGTCTAGCGCCTCTCTGCCACAGCCGGGACCGTGCGCATCCCGCAGCCGGGGCCCGGCCCTCCCGCCTCTGGGGCCGCCCCCTGCTCCGGCTGAGTGGCGCTGGGGGTGGGTGGGTGTCAAACTCCCTCCTTCAGCCCGGCGCTTCGCAGGCGCATCCCGCAGCGCCCCGAGAGCCCGGCTGGCCCCTGCCTCTCGCTGCGCCGTCTCCAAAAGGGGAGGGACTTTGCCAACTCTCCGGCCCCGCATCGCCGGCGCCCGTGCCCAGGTCAGGCACCCGCGGGACTCCCCTGCCCCGCCCGGGACCGGCCGGCCGCGGACTCCGAAAGGGGACGGAGCAGCAGCCGCTGCCGCCGCCTGCGCGCCTTTGCGGGGTGCCCGCCCGCGGGGCTCGGGCAGGAGCCGGGGAGCCGCCCCCGCAGCGGGACGGTGGCAGAGGAGGAAGGCGAAGGGGGCCGGCTCAGAGGTGGCTGCGCCGGTGCCCAGCGCTGGCCCCGGGACCGGGCGCTGCATCCTCCCGCGGCTGGGCAGCGGCCGGGGGGGCCCCGCTGTGCCAGGCTCGCCCGGGCCCGCGGGGAGGCGGCGGCGGCCGCGGGGAGC